CTTAATTTGTTTAGCTAGAAGGATCTGCCGAAAAAACCGATGTCGGTAGCGACAAAAACTGCGGGGAACTATGCAAAAAACGCGTCATCACACGGACAGCCCGTGCGTTGGCCAATTATTTGACTTTTCAAACTGTTGTAAAGGTCAGAGAGAAATTAAATTTGATTTTAGAGAAATGATCAAATGCATCTTAAAAAAAGTACTGGCGAAGTAGGATGAAAACTCTATTGGAATTCAGCAAGTATCACAAAACTAGGGTGACCAAAAAGCACAAATTTCAGGATTGATTGCATTTGGCTCTTATAACCCGGGAAAGAATAACTGCAAAAAAGATGTCGTTTGGTTGTCTGTTTGCAATCTGATCACTTCACTTTATACAGCAGTTGTTATTTTCTGCGTTCTTGGTTATATGGCAGGACAAAATTATAACACTTGCATTGAACGGTAATTAATACACTGGACATTTGTTTGGGCATTTATACATTTGTTTGTGACCGGCTTGTTATTTCACATTTTAATGCAGATCCCGGAGCTCTTTTTGACTCTACACGGCTCTAGGATGAAATTCGTGAAACTGCCTACGATCTGACCAGATCTTGATCTGTTCATCTTTTCATAATGCCCGATTAAGTGCTACTGATGTGGATACAGCGTACCTAGCCAAAAGTAAGGGAGAGGGTGGTCGTTTCCGTACTGTTTGCATCAACTAACAGTCTAAAATGAAATTTTTAGCAGTTTCACGTTGCAGAGATATGGCAAATATACTTGCAATATATCCGGGTCGTTTTGGCAGCTTTGAAGAAATTCGAGGCAACATATCAATCGACGAATATGCGTCGTGGATGTACAGAGATTTTCAGAATACCGAATATCCTCTACTAGCAAATGTCACAAGTCACTGTAATTACAAACAGATCATTTCACAGGTAAGCTTTGTCACATTTTGCTTGTTTTATTATCCAGCACGTTTTTTGCGGAATTGTATGAAATAACTGCTAAACAGTTAGCTAACTTCTGTAATTTAGGCGGCAGAAGGAACTGGTTTGGCGTTCGTTGTGTTCACTGAGGCAATAATACAATTTCCGTTCCCACCACTCTGGGCAGTGATGTTCTTCCTGATGCTCCTGATGCTTGGCTTGGGCACGATGTTCGGAACATTGGAAGGAGTGATAACATCGCTCAATGACAGCAAGATAATCAATTTGAAAAAACCTGCACTCACAGCCATTCTGTGTGCAGTTGCCTGCGTCATTGGTCTTGTCTTCTCGACACATGCTGGACAGGTAGGTGCACTGCAATCTCACTGTTATATTTGTCTGTTTTACTAGTGGATATGACCCGCGAAACAGAAAGACATCAAACTGCTCCAGAAGTTTCTAACGGAAACAGTGGGAGCAGGAAGATGTCCGTAACATGCTCAGCAGCTGCAACGCACGGGATACGTGGTAGGAACATCGAGGGGTACGTGGTAGCACCACAGTATTTTCAGTGTTAGCCCTCTCTCTCAGTCCCCATTCTCTTTTTGTCCCGAGTGAGACCCGCCACAGGCACCGTGGTGGGCAATTACTTCTCACAGTTCAGGAGTCATCAACAAAATGAATGCGGGGTACCGAGAACGCTGAAGACGAGGGAAAGTATCTCTTGTTGCCAGTTGACAAGTAGCATGGTCTGGATGAGCAAACACCTGTGGCCTCCACTAGACTGCTCTAGGTTGGGCGACATTTCAATGGTCAAAAAGCCACAGAGGACTTGCATACAGACACAAGGAAGACGCTAAAACTGGTAAACAAAAGAAAGGGTTGGTATGTATGTGTTGTGACGCAATTCTTCCTGGGAAACGCGTAAAAAAATGATATCCAGAAGTGGCTTCAACAGCTGCAAAAGGGATACGTATAAAAAGAATGTGAACACTCCCGATTTTAGTACTGGGTGATGTTGTTCGATCATTTTGCTGGTTCGTACGCTCTCATGTGTGTGGCCTTCTTCGAAGTTATTGCCGTGATATACGTTTATGGATGGAAAAAGTTGGTTGTTTTCGGTTTGACTCGGTTATATTTGTGAAAATTAATTTGTGTCTTCCAGTCCAATTTAATTTCTTAATTGCTGTTTAAATTTGTTTTTAAATGAAACACAACGCAAACTGCTTACTAGCAAAGTTTAATAAAACTGCTCTAAAACCTGGCAGTTGAAAGTTTCACATCACATTAACTTTGAAAGTTTATGATGCGGGAAGCAGCTCACTCCTTTTGCTACTTGGAGACATCAAAGTGTCAGCAGGAAAAATAAGAAAATATGAAACGTTTTCGACTAAACGCAAATTGTGACCGCCAAAACAGCACCGAAATTAATTCTGCTTGTTTGCCCTGAAGAGTAAAAAAGTCCGCCGGGAACTACTAAATTCCACAGCAAACTTAAATTTAAGCAAGCCAACAAAAATAAACAAACCCAGGCTGGAACGCACCAGTCGAGCCGAAGCGATCATGCGTTTTTGCACAAAACTTGAATTAGGTTAACTGCATGAACGGTTGTTTCTTCAC